AGTTGCGGTACGGTTCTCTCATTTGAGTCATTTTCCATGATTGAGTACATTTGAATTATTGCTTATTGGTGCACGGATTGCACGGTTTGTGGCTTAGGGTTGTATTGGTGTGGCATGTCAATAGAATGGTTGTGTTTGATGAGATGGGGTCATTGGACCTAGAATGGGTACTATCAGAATTGATTACAGTATGGATGGGGGAATAATATCGGAAGTTGGCTTAGGGTTTGGCTTTGGTTCTTATCGGACGAGAGAGGGCTCCATGACATGTTGATCTGATAAGTGGTTATGAGTTTTTGCGTGTTTCTTTCATCATCGACAGTGTACGAAGGTTTTAGAACGAGGATTTGTTTGATATGAGGTTTATTATCAGTACCGGGTTTATTTCGAGTAGTTATTATTGTCGAAAATTATTGATATGAGTATTGGAGTTATGTATTATATCATGTAATTATGCCTTGGGTTATGGTTATGGCTTGATACAGCTTGTTCAGACTTATACAGTGTGTAGATACGAGATTCGGGTCTTATAGGTAATTCCGGAAGTTTGAAATTAGATTCTAAGGTTTATGGGCTAAGTTTGAATTAATGATCTTCAGTCATGTTGTGTTATCAGGCCTATATGAAATAGGGAGACGCGGGATCACCCTCGGATATATGCATGGTAAGGTTACACGGCGGTTTGATGGCTTTAGAATGACTCTTGGCACGTTTGAGGATGAACGTATGTTTAAGTGGGGGAGAATGTAATGACTTGACCGGTCGTTTTGGGCATTTGCACTTCGCTTGGTGATTTGAGGACATGAGCATCTCCGTATGATGTATTACGACTTGTGTGTATTGTCGGTTTCGGTTTTCGGGTGATTCAGAATTAGTTTGGAAGAATGAATTTCATTGTTGAAGCTTTAAGTTGGAAGAGTTGACCAAGTTTTACTTTTGTGAATTTGACCCCGGAAGAGAGTTTGATGGTTCCGTTAGGTCCAGGATGTGATTTTGGACTTGGACGTATGCCCGGATTTGCATTTGGATATTTCTAGAAGGATTCAGCGCTAATTGGCGAAAGTTGGAAATTTGAAGGTTTGGAAAGATCATAAGTTTGACCGGGAGTTGACTTTGATGATATCAGGTTCGGATTGTGGTTCCAGAAGTTGGAATAGCTTTGTTATGTCATTTGATTTGTGTGCAAAATTTGAGTTCATTACGGGTTGATTTGATATATTTCGGTGCGAGTTTTGGAAGTTGGAAGTTCAAAGTTCATTTAAGTTTGAATTGAGGTGCAATTCATCGTTTCGATGTTGTTATGTGGAATTTGAGGCCTCGAGTAGGCTCGTATTATGTTATGGGACTTGTTAGTATATTCGGATGGGGTCCCGAGGGGCCCGGGTGAGTTTCGGACAAGGTTCAGACCATTTCGTCGCATGTTGCAATTGGCTAAGGCTGCTGGTTCTGGTGTGGCCGCATCTGCGGATAATTGGTCATAGAAGCGACTTCGCATATGCGGGGTTTTCCTTCGCAGAAGCAAAAGGCAGCTGGGCGTGAAGGCCGCAGAAGCGGGAATTGTTCCGCACCCGCGACATCGCAGAAGCGGAGGGATAGGTCACAGAAGCGAGATTCATCGCAGAAGCGGAAGCAGTGATCGCACTTGCGTGTGCGCAGAAGCAGAATTTGTTTCGCAGGTGCGATGGGAGAATTCCAGTGATTGTCCGCAGAAGCGCAAATTTGGTCGCACAAGCGACGCCGCAGAAGCGCAAATCTGTTCACAGATGCGAACATGCCTGGGCAGAACATATATTTCAGGGAGTTGGTGGTTTTTCATCGTTTTTCGAATTTTGGAGCTCGGTTTGGGCGACTTGGGAGAGGAATTTCACCATGTGAATTGGAGTTAGCATTCTTGACTCGCTTTTGAATATATTTCATGAATCTATCCTCGTTTTAGGCATTTGGTTGATGATTTCAAAAGAGAAATTGGGGGGGGGGGGGTTGCCTAAAGTCTCATTGAGTGAATTTTTGAGTTTTGAACGTTGATTCGGAGTCGGATTTGAGTGAAACTAGCATGGTTGGACTCGTAATTGAATGGATTGTCTGATTTTGTGAGTTTCATCGCTTTCTGAGGCGTGTGCCCGGGTTTGACTTTTTGGTTAACTTTGGGCTTTTGATTAAAGATTTGACCTTTATCATTTGGAATTGTTTCCTTGGGGTTTATTTGATATATTTGAGTTGATTTTGGCTAGTTTCGAGCCGTTTGGAGGTCGGTACGCGCGAGATGGTATTTTTGGAGCATCGTTTGGCTTGCTCGGTATTGGATTTGGCTTGTTCGAGATAAGTAACACTTCTAAACTTGGTGTTGAGGGTATGAACCCCTGAATATGTGTGATATGTGTTTGGTATTGAGGTGACGCACATGCTAGGTGACGGGCGTGTGGGCGTGCTCCGTGTGAATTGTGATTCAGTTATTTCTGTGGTACTGTGTAGTTACCTAATCTTATCTGTAACCATGAAATCTCTACGTGCTAGAGTAATGGAGCTGTGATCCATGTTTGAAACCATGTTTAGGCTACATGCTTATCCTATTGGGACCCACTAAGGTCATTTCTGCAGTTGAGTTAATTGCTTACATTACAACTACATACTCAGTCATAAGCATTCATTTGCATATCATATCTCAGTCTCTGTTACCATTTAATGATACATCACATCATTATTTTTGGGCTGATTTTTATGACATTGTGAGCCCGGGAGACTGGAGAGATTGATAACTGAGTGAGGTCGAGGGCCTGATTGTGAGAATATTTATGGGATTAGGTTGCACGCCGCAGCATGTTTATGTGATTCATGCCATGTTGGCTTATTATATCGTTTGGGCTGGAATTTTTCCTCTGGAGTCTGCACATCCACAGTGAGCGTATGTACCTACTAAGTGCGAGTGCCGAGAGCGAGTGCTGGGTGACTGTGAGGACTGAGTGACTGGGAGGAATGAGTGAATTGATACTCTGAGAGTATGCATATGGTTTCATCACTGAATTGCATTGCATTCGACATGCACACTTGACATACAGGCATAGAGATGCATTTTCCTCATGTTGTACTATATTGCATCACTCATGACTTCACATACACATTGACATGTAGGCATAGAGATGTATTTTTCTAATGCCATTCGGAAATAAAACATTTACCTGTTGAAAGCTTTGGGAAAAATTATAGTTTTACAAACATACTCATATTTTTGGTGATTTCGATAAAAGATTTGGGTTTTCACTGATATACTTGAAGCATGCCTATTTTTTCGGAACTGTGAACGAGCTGACATTTTATCTCTGAATTATTTCTTTTAGCACTTTTATTATGTTGTTATGAACTGTTGTTGGCTATTGGTTTTGGACTTCGACTTTTGTTCCAGCTCGTCACTACTTTCAACCTAAGGTTAGGTTTGTTACTTATTGAGTACATGGGGTCGGTTTTACTCATACTACACTTTTGTACCTTGCGTGCAGATGTTGGATGCTTATGTTGTTGCGTACGGCGGGAGCTGGATCTGAAGATGTACCTGCGTTCCAGTTATGGCTATCACTTGTCCTTGGTAGCATAATATTCGAATTCTGTTCATTTACATTTCAAATAGGTGTTGTAATTATTTGAGTTTAGTCTTGTAAAAATCTAAATCTTTGAAACTCATGATTTATACTACCAGTCCTTGGGAAATTCTTTGTATAATAGTTCAATTGTATTATCATTTCCTCTCTTAATCAATCTCATTTGAACTAGTTTATTGTTATTTGGCTTACCTAGCGGGTTGGGTTAGGTGCCATCACGGCTAGTTGGATTTTGGGTCGTGACAGTAGGTTGAAAGGCCTATACCCAAAAACTACATGTGACGGTGTAGGAGTCGATCTGGACAAGTCCATTTCGCACCATTATGAAATTATGCCCCAATATTGGGATGATGTATTGTATTGTTAGCACAGAATCGTCGATCCACATGGCATTATGGTGAGACGGCTTAGCCGATCGGGCCGAGATCGGACACCATGCCACGCACATGGTGGTTATATATTATATTATTATGTCGGTATTATGTCGGTAACTAATGATCTCCCAACCTAAACGCTAATGCTCATTTGAAGTTTTTACTTATATTACACCTCCTTATCATGTTTTTAACTTGGCATTTTAAAATACTATTGACTTTTCTTATTACTTCCATGTATCTCTCTGCTTATGTTAGCATTTCATTCCATGTTAGGGTACTTAGCTTTACATACTAGTAATATTCCATATATACTAACATCCCTTTTGCCGAGGACGCTGCAGTTTTATTGGATATAGGTGGTACCTCAGCAGGCGTTACGGACTCTCAGTAGGAGCTTAACTCTTCAACATATTTTGGTGAGCCCTACTCTATATCTGGACCCATATGTTGTATTGTCTCCTTGTACATTATTTTGAGGTATAGCCAGAGTCTTGCTTTTCTCATGTCTATTTAGAGGCTCCGTAGACATAATATGGGCCATGTTTTGAATGGGGGAAAGCTATAAATATTGTTCTTGTCATTTGCTTCACTTATGAATGATGGACTTGTATTATTTTGCCATCTAACAATAAAATTTCCTAATTAGTGAAACTCAGTGTTGTACATTTTTATTCTCTCGATTGACTATCTCTTGTTATTTATTCTTGAATCATTCATAGGCAAAGTTAGATAGTAGGCACCAAGTAGGGTTGCTTGACTGGATATCTCGGTTGAGCCCGGTCCCACTTCCCTAGGTCGGGGCATGATATTAATGTTGGGCTAAAGAATTTAAAAAAAAAATTATTTACAAAGTGGGCCAAGCTGGGTAAGAAAGTAAAATATGGGCAATTTTGATATAAAGGGGGTAATTTTTTAAAGAAAACATATTTTGTTTTAATTGAAGGTCCAATGTGCTTAGCTAAATAACACAAGGACTAAAATAGAAATTATGCTAAAATACGAAGACTAAAAAGTTATCATCCAAAAATAAAAAGAAGNCACCAATAAGGCACCAGTCTTTACACAAACTCCTAGTTTAAAATTATAGTATTTGTTTTAAAACATAATTGTCATGAATCATTTTACTCATCTTGTCTTCTTGTCATCAGGTTTGATAAGCTGCACAGGGGCTGCTGGTATCCTGATCCACCACTCTCTAATCCGTCGGAGATCTCTTTCGCTGCTGATCTTTCTCAGAGGCATGTTCGTTGTGAAAGACTCCAAGAAAGCAAAAAGAATCAAATGTTTAAGTGGCACAAAAGCAAAAGCCAAGGCCATGATCACCAGTACAAGAGCTGTCCTGTCGGTTGCCTAAACATGATGAAAATAAAATTCATATCACCAAGAATAAATACTTTGCGAAAATTGTAGACTTAACAATGATCTTTATATATTCCAAAAATACTGAGTGCAATTATTTCAGTTTAGAGAGAATTTGTATCTAGATAACTTCTTAACTCTAAGCTTCAAGTTGTTTAGACCTTCATTTTGATTATCACAGAAAAACCTGCGCAGTATCCAATTTCTAGAGCTTCTTCAAGTCCAGCTATTGCTAGGTTTTCCATCACTTCCATGTATGCATTAAATATCTCAAACCATGAAGCTATAGTACTGACATATATTAACTCTTCAACATTATCAATGGAAGAAAAACAAATTGTTTCAAGTTTCTAGCGCTTCTGTAAAGTCCCAACTATTGCTAGGTTTTCACACTCGCTTTCATGTATGCATTAAATCTCATACTATAAAAGTGTAATCCCCTCCCATAACTTTCAATTATGCTAAGAATTAAGATATGACATCAAAACCCAAATATTGGATTGGTTTTAAGGAGTTCAATACGAGGAATATATGATAATACCTGAGGAAGGACAGCAAAAATGAGAGCTCGTACTTTCAGTAGAATAATGTTGCCACTTTGGATTAATGCCTCAAGTTGACTAATAGCTTCTTGCAATAACAAAAGCTGCTCAACAGCATTTTTTGGAGGAGGAGCTATGATTTTTAGTGGTTCTAATGGCCTCCCTTTTCCGACATTCCTATGCCAGAGCATGATAACTACAAGCACAACTAACAGCGCAGGCAATGCGTAATTTATCCATCCCCTGCATATGAAAAAGGAAACATTTCAGAAGAGCTAAGGATCACAGGGAAAAAGGATAGAGGAAAATGGTATATTTTAGACAGATAGAATCAACAGTGTTCTGACGGAAGACAGAAAATCGAAATTATCAGGTGAAAGCACAACAATTTTCCAGCCACCTCAAATAGAAGGAAGCTGATCAATTTCCATTCTCCTTTAACAGAAATGATTATAGTGAACTGAATCTTACTCCAACATTATAACACCTGGAAATTACTTCTGTATGCTAAACTTGACGTAGCAAAAAAGCGAAAAAAAGGAGAAAGGGGGAAAGAATAGAGAGAAGTAGGAGAGATGAGAGGGAAGAATAAGAGAGAGATTGAGAGAGAAAGAGAGAGAGATTGTTCATTTGGTATTACTCATCAAGTCTTCGAAACAAAGTATATGATAGTCCCATAACTCCTAAAACTACTACTCCCTCCGTTTCAATTTAGATGACACACTTTCCTTATTAGTCTGTTCCAAAAAGAATGACACATTTCTATATTTAGAAACAATTTAACTTTAAACTTTTCATTCTACCAACTTTACCCTTAATAAAAAGTTTTTATAGTCACACAAATATTATGGCCCCACTAAGCTTTTGCCCCTTAAGCTTTTAGCACCACATGTTTCAAAAGTCTTCTTTTTTTTCTTCAACTTTGTGTCAAGTCAAACTACATCATCTAAATTGAAACGGAGGGAGTAAAAGTATTAGCTCTAACCAAGAAAATAAGATTAGGTAAAGCTTAATCTGTAATTAACGAACAAAACCTCATTCCTAACTAAAGATAACGTTATCTATATTCTACTTCTAACTAAAAAAAACTACTACTATGCTTTAATTCCAAGCAAGTCAGAGTCGGCTATACGAATCCTCACTACCTATGTCGCTCCATTTAAACCAATTCCTAACTAAAAGATAAAGATAAATAAAATTAAAGTAATATTTATTGCTCAATTGAGTGAAAATTTTGAATTAGATCGTGCTACTTTGAAATCCGATGATGTTCTCATAGCAGTCCAAGGGGTTGGTTTACTTTTTGGCATGCTTCGTGTGCTTTGCTCTTCTTCTTCGGACACATTTGGCATGATGCTAGAACCTTGTTCGTAGATGTTTTCTGGTATTGACCCAGATTTAGATGCTCAAGTCGAATTTGGACCATTTCAAAAACTTTATCTATATTGAGTAACATAATTATTCACTGCTCGAGGAAAGCTTAATTCCGACCGATGAGGCAAGTTGCCTAACTTCAAAAGACCCGGATGTATTGAATGGAACTCGTCCTTGTTGATAGTATCAAGCATCCTCGAACTAAAAACTCTGCCTGTTATGATACCATATTGAAGTATATGATCATCTTATCTAAAAGCTTAAGCTGTTAGAGAAAGCATACTTTTATTTTCTTAATTATGCGTTCAATAATAACTAAGGATGCTAAAATTGTACCGGCTAATGAATTGGAAACTAAGCTCTAATACCAAGATTGATGTAGCACCAAAAAAAAAATTTGAAATAGGAAAGGAGGAATAATACAGAGAATTAGGAAAGATAAAAAGAAAAATAACAAACAAATAAAGATTTCATTAAGTGAAGTGCTATTCAAGTATTCCAAGCGAGGTATATGATGTTCATATTTAAAGGATAAGTGTCGAACAAGTTAAAACTCTTAAAACTACTAGTCTTTAACTAAGACATAAGAATAGAGAAAACATTATCCTTAACTAATAGATATTGGACAAAACTATATCTCTAACTAAAAATAAGGTTATTACTGCTCTATTTCTAACTAAAAGATAAAGGTAAATAACAATTAAAGATAATAAATATTATTGCAATCTTTACTGAACTACATCAAAACTTCACGCTGAACTTTTGTTCTGGAACTAGTAGAATGAGAAATATATGCATACAAATTATGTTTGTGTTCATGTGATCTTCAAGCAATTTGCATTCTGGAAGAGAGGAGATTAGATACTGCTTCTGAATATTTTCGGTGTTCAGGGGGTAATGCCACAGGATGTAAAGAGTACTGCTCAGTTGGAAGAGGACCGAAACGTGCCACTGAAAGACTCTGCTGAGACAAAGATGGGCTGTCAAGAACGTAGAGGAGGTAGGATGGGCAGTTGGTCCGATGTACTTTCAAGGTTTTGCACCTCTCAAGTACAAAGAAGAGAGAAACAAAAGCACCCCGCTAAAGTTTTTCAGAAAACTAGCGAAAGCGTTCTTCAAACTCACAAGATTGCAAGAAGCGTTGAATAAAGGAAGAACAGTGAAATAAAAAGTAAATCACGTTTTTGAAGCAAGAGCTTAGAAAAACTAATCACCCATCATTATTTTCAGCATATTGAGCCATTTAGGCCTAACAATGAGTAAAATTGATGAGGTTAAGGAAAACAAATCCTAATTAAACTAGAATAAGAATAAGGGTAAGAAAAACCTATCCTAACTAAAATAGAAAAGAGAATTCTAGTAAGGATGGGATACCAACTAACAATCCTAGTTTGACTAAAACTACAAATATAATCCTACTAAAATAAGAATTAAATTACTAGGAAACAAGAAATAAGAAATCCTAATCTTCAAGGAAAGAAATCCTAATCTTGGATGGATTCTTGAACTTCTTGAATTTCTTGGATTGTTGGCCTTCTAGATCTTGCATCATGGTCAGATCTAGTATAGATCGTACGTGCATCATGGTCAGATCTAGTATATATCGTACGTGCATCATGTGGATTCTTTGGTTGGAAAGGAATAAAAGATGCTTTGAAGGAAGCAAACATCATATCTCTTCTGTTTTTTTTTATAAGGTAAATTGTATTAATCAAAAGGGAGAGAACTCCCGTGTACACGAAGTATATCCAAGACGTAGAGAATTTACATCAGAACATGATTCTCTACAAAATCTTCTATACAAGCAGGGGCTAATGAGTGTACCAAAAAGCGATCAAAGATAAAAGATTATTCTTAAGACGTGAAAAAGGAGACTCAATCTCCTCAAAAGCTCTCCTATTTCTCTCCCCCCATACTACCCACATGAGAGCTAACGGGGCGAATTTACACGCCTTTTGCTTTCTTCTTTTACGAAAACCGCCCCAGCTATATAACATTTCCTTTACAGTGCTTGGCATCACCCATTGAACACCAAAAAGATTCAGGATTGACCTCCACAATGCAGAGGACCCAGGGCAATGCAACATAAGGTGATCAACTTCTTCCCCAGAGCTTTTACACATGTAGCACCTACTAACAAGTGTAATTCCCCTCTTTCGGAGATTTTCAGCAGTCAAGATCACTCCCCTTGCCGCTAGCCATGCAAAAAAGCACACCTTCGTGGGCGCCCTAGGAATCCAGATCGAGTATGGAAAATTGTTCGCCTCTCTCACCAACATACTCTGGTAAAAGGACTTTACGGTGAACAAACCATCGCCACGCAAGCCCCATCTCCAAGAGTCACAGGATGGCTGGAGCATGTCTTGCCCGTATAGCAGTGCCAACAAGACTTGAAGCTCCACAATCTCCCAATCTTGCATGTTCCTCCTGAATGAGAGGTCCCATACTACCCCCTTCATGCTCCTTGCGAATCTGTTGGACCATCAGTTCTTTCTGGTTTGAAACTCTGAAGACGTGGGGGAAGGAGACCCTGAGAGTATCCTTTCCACACCACCTATGATTCCAAAAGTTGATTCTCCTTCCATCTCCCACCCTGTAAGTGATGTTGCCACTGAATGCTTCCCAATTTTTCATGATACTCCTCCACATGCCACACCCGAAAGGTGTTGTGATCGCCTTGGTCCTCCAACCCCCTCCCGTTGAATC